CTTTTTCGTTTATTGATACAAAGCAGCAAAAATTTGCTATACAAAAATCGCAAAATTGAGCCCTTTCAAAGGAATCACAATCCGTTAATAAAAGTGCAGTAACCTTGAAACAAACGGCTTACCATTGCCAGTTCACTGGGAATAAAAAATATCCTCCGCTAAGGTTTCTCTGGATGTCTTTGAAGAGCTCAGTTTGCTTTGGAAATACTCAGGTCTTAGATTTCTTTAATAATCCTTGGGACTCACAAGATTTACTGGAAGATCAGAGATTGTCCCATATTTCCTTGGATGCAGTCTCCTCACAGTAAATAAAATCTCCTCCGTGTTCAGCTCAACCTTCAACTGAGAACATGCTTTCTTATTTTACACCGACATGAGCCGCATTTGTGAGACACACGAGTGAACATCACAATTCCTTGTATAAGCGAGAAGCGTTTCATGTCACTCAAGTATCATGTTTCTGGTTCTTGACCACAGATACGCGTCGCACGTATCTGATTTATATTACACGGGTTTCAGAATCATTGTATTGTATTGTAGTACTTTGCTTGACGCTATTGTTAATCAATGGACAGTATGTCAGTTATGGAAACCATGACAAAAATGTAAATGCTAAATAATATATCAAACGTACATCGTATCGGTGCTCCTATTGATGAAAATAAAGTGGATACAGTACTAACTAGATATTCAAGATGCGCCAAATCATTATCGTTAGTCATTCAACTCCATGATTTCGATTCCAGTTTCGAAAGCGGCTCCTTGGATTCGTTCGTGACTATTTATTTCGATTCCCTTCTATTACGGTTTCCGCAATTACAAAACTCCATTGGAGTTAATAAGTGCTACAAAGGAACACCACAGTCGAAATCGATCCCGATGGCGTTCAGGAGGACGCGACCTTGATGATTTCGATAACGGCATATACAAACTTTTAGTGGGTTGATTTTTAACGAACTGTTTAAAAGGCATGCTGCTGTTTTATTTTGAGGACTTCAAATGAAGAACTATTTGCTGTTTGTATTCGCAGTACTCTAGATGTGGACCACTCGCTATTGAACAGACTAAACATGCTGCTTTCGTCGTCAGCCTCTAGCGGTCAGTGGTGATCAAACGCAAACTGAGATATTTACAGTTTGAACCGATAGCTGCTATACATTCTCGCAGTGGACAATTCAGGTGATAGATGGCACGTTTTCTTATTCCGATATGTCGTATGCCTATGATTGGGATAGGATAGTTGCTATGCTTTAGTTCTTCATCCTGTGTCTTGAAAAGGAAGTAGTGGTGAGGTAAAGCCTGGTAACTAGGCTACCCGTTAGCCTATTTTTCGATCCCTTAGTATCAACACTGTGATGCTCGACGAGCCATCTACTGCTAACTGATATAATATACCAGCTCCAGCGACGAGTTGTACCTATCGTTAACTTTGCACCCACGTGCGTAATGTAGAAAACATGCAACACTACATCTATGACAAGGAATTAACTTCGGAGGCGGAGATTTAAACCTGCGAGCCCCGGGCTGCTAGGTCGACGTGCTAGCCACAGAGCTCAGACTCCCTGCTGCCTATCTCACATAACACTAACCCTTTCCTTACATTTTGTCTAACTTTGGCCAATACTATTTTTACCCGCGGACTCGTCATCTGCGATACAGTAAAGTCGCAACTGAACGTAGACTTATAAACCATTCATACTCCGAACTGTATACTCCAGTGTTGTGGACCGTTACTAATTTGAAGTCGTTGGAATTAAAAAAAAAATAGTACAGGGCCCCGGTGTTGCTGTAGGGCGATATAAGCGGTATCGTTTCTTTGAGGTGACTTGTTCAGAACCCAGCCACCTCTACCAGAAGTCCCTTTGTATTGACCAAACTATTTCCAAAGCAGCTCTGAGCAAGTTTAGACAACATATTTGGTACTTATCCGAAGACATTATCGTCTGTCACTTTATGATTGACAAGTTGACGAACAGTCCAAGAAACAAATTTGTCTTGAACTTACAAAGAGAGATCTTGCATGTTGGTAAGAGATACATCCCATAACGAGAATAGTTGTCTAACCACTTGTGTGGATATAAAGTACTTGCTACTTGAGCAGTTTTTAGTTTTCATTGCTTGCGTACTACGTATGCTTATAGTCAATTGTTAAAACGCTTATCTTCTTCAAAAGAATTGTATACGTATCACGGTCTAATCACTTCTGAACAAGAGCAAAAGCAGTTTTTGCTACGTTATGTACAGGAGCATATGGAATTATATAATAACTGTAAAAAAGAGACCCTATTAAAGAACTATTCCGAGTGTCAATTTTATTAATTACATAAATATTCGTATTGGAGACTTATTTTCGATTGACCTTTTCAAATATATATTTGGTGAGATTTAGCTAAGTAGCAAAAAGTCGTGAAAGCAGGCATATACGAAATCCTCAAAGCTAGGCCATGCGTTTTTATATTTCAGAAGAAAATATGTTTGCCTCTATTTGTGAAGTGTTTTGTTAAAGCCAAAAACTATCCTTGTTAGCGAAACTGATTTTCCTTTTTACCTTCAAACTCAAATAAATGTAAATTTAAGTGAAAGGTCGTCGCGAAAGTTGGTGGCATATGCTACGAAATCCGAATAAAAATTATTTTGCCGAGGGGGTTGTAATTTCAGGAAAAGATGAGTACGGAGTTTCTCGTTTTGTTTGTTTAGGGGAGCTTGGGGATATTGAAACGGAAAAATATCCGTATATCTGAATTTGTACAGTTGAAAGCGCTCCTTTGCCGACTTTGTGATTTTTGTAGGTGCACTCACGTCGACATCGGGTTGAATGAATTCCAGATAAACGCTGCGATGCAGCGGAGGTTGAAGAGTCACCGCTCTTTTCAATGGGTCCAAATAATATGCTAAACATATTTATCCTGCATGCGAATACAGATACTAGGTTGTCTGAAGAACTCTCTGCAACCAGAGCATCTGCTTTCATTCTGGAAACCAGCAAGCTCGGAAGGCGATGTCGCATACCTTGACACAGAAGCATTTTATTATTTCCTATTGAGCTCCAACGCCGAGCAAACGAATGCAGGCACATGTGACGTTGACGTTTGTTATTGGAAGGTATTTGAATGCGCTCATATACACCTTAGTTTCGAGTTGGACCGCGGTGAGTTCGGTGCTAATGTCGAGCGATGAGTCTCCTCTCATCGAATGCAGACAAACGACTAAATACTAGAAGCGAACGCAACCGAACGCCAACACTGACCTTGGAACCGTTGGCTTATGTTGGCTCGCACGTACACGCCGATTCGAACACCTCTGAATCTGTAACCACAAGTACCTTGACTTGCGTCGGAATCTCGGTCTGTACGCGGCTTTTCAGATCAAACTGTCTTCTTAGGAACTCATGTTGATAGTAAGTTAAGCTGGCAATCACAAATAAATCACATTTGCAACAAAACTAACAGTGCTTATTTTTGCAATATTGAAATTGAAGCCTAACATCCATCAACATTCACTCTTAGATATCTTATTTATTACGAGCTAGATAATTCTCACCTCACTAACAATATAATCATGTGGAGGTAGGCGATTAACATATTATTCATCCTGCAGAAAAGAGTACCTCGATTAATTTTTAATATTAATAAGAGGGACTCTTGTGAAGAAACCGTTAGACGCTGTAATCTGCTTCCATTAACTTCCATCTATATCTACAAATGCGCCATCTTCGCGTTTGAACACAGCAATAGATTTGTTCGTAACAATGCCATTAATAGTCAATGCGACACTAGAACAGGGTATCATCTGAGTATACCGACACATAACTCTGCCCTATTCCAAAAATCTCGTACACGGGCTTGCACTAAGCACTAAGGTGTACAATAATTTGAGTTGTGGAGAAGCACTAATATCCTTGCACTGAAAAACCATCTCAGGAAATCTCTAGTTGAAAAATGGTCTTACTCTCTACATGAGTTTTTTAACACTTAAAGGTACCTATTTTTTAATTCTTTTAAGCTGCTAATCATGTCGGGATCAGTGAGTTGTCTATTATCATGATTGTAGAAGGAAGATCAACCAAAATATGTGTGTAAAAATAAAAAAAAATTAAATAAAAGTGTTACCTTGTTTTATAAAGTATCCTCCCGACAAGTATTTCAGTGCGGACCTGTATTTGATCGTGCGGTCTTGGAGCACCGGCATGCCCTCCCCTGTGAGGTCTTAAGTCACCTGAACATGTGCCACTTTTTATTTCGTTTGAGCCACGCAACAAACACCACTATTCACTCACGCGTTACCGACTGACACATTGACTGAATACAACTGAATAAAATTGTAGTAAAAACATCGTGATAAGCGTTTCAAATTCTTTCGCTTTTTTGTTTTCGATGCGATGAACGGATAAGGCGGATTATATCCGTTGTTGCCAAACGCGAGCACATAATATTATTACTGAGACAGGGCGGTACTCAAACTTCTAAAGCGCTATAACTTTGTTACTTTAATTTTACCAGAAAAATGTTAAAGGAAAAAACATTTCTTTTGATCAGATCTACTCACTGTTAAAATACATGACTCAACTTCGAAGTCACCCTCTATATAAGTATTTTCGTATTTGCTCAAATGCATATTTGACTCAAAAATTCATATTGACAAGTCTTATATCATGTAACTTGGTCTAATAGGACAATAAACTAGCTAACTATCTCTCTATCTATCTAAGGGATATTCCCAAAAAGTTATCAGGTCCTAGATAGCATTACGGAAAAATATCAAAATATTTTATGACATGGATAGGTTTTGCAAATATATAAAGCAAACCATATTTCTTTTTGTTAGGAGGTTGACAACTTCTTTGGTAATTTTAAAAGCCACCGAGGTCCCTTTTTTGTATGTACTACTCGATGGCGGATATTTGAATGGGTCATTATAAAAACCAATCTATTTGTCAATGCTACAGATTTTATTGATCAATTCAGTTAATCCTTAGACTTATTAATTTAAATTAATTCTAGAGATCCCAATGTTCTACCACTTTTGAACCCAACAACATAAAATGCTCTTGGATATCCATCAAACCAATCGCACATGTATTGCTTCTTACAGAAGCTAAATCTTACCTTACAACCCCTCAAAGTATGTAACGATCAGCCACATATATCGCATACACAGTGTCTGCAACAAAACAAACTCAATTATCTCCCATGCATTCTACTCCCTTCAAGAGCTTTGATGGATTGAGCATTATAAAAATAACTTCCTGCATGCATAATCGTCTGTTATCTGTCATCTTCATGAACATTTTAGTGAGTTGATGCATTTTGATTTTTGGTCAAATTATACAGGCTAGTATGTGAATCATAATATTCTACGAAAACTAATATTATAGCCTTTTTTATATGATTGCTAGAATGAAATGGAAGGAGAATGTCAAGTGCATGTCTAGTTTTTAGGAGGGTTATGTTTTTCGCGTGCGCGTGATTATGCATAACGACAAGAACAATTCTGTTTCATGGGCTAGAGTTCAAACGGCTATATCCACTTTGACGTAGAATATGACACATTTTTCTTAGCGTCACGGCTTCCACTCGGTATGTCAAAAAACTTTCAGTTCTTGAAGAATGCGAGTGACGCTGGGCACAATACAATTCTATAACATCAGAATTACGGATTTTAATAAAAAAGTTCGACGGGCCTGTCCTACGGTAATACAGAGCTCTAAGGTCGCTACAAGAAATCGACTTTACTTATGCAACCTTAGAACGACACTTCTTATACCAAAGACTCAACCATCTTGCTGGTTCCGCTATTTTGGAAATATAGTAACTTTGATAAAAAATTCTGAATTAGCGGAACTAAAGACTCCAGTATATAACATTTTAGATTGCGTATTATTATCCAAATCAAGATAAGGTTTTTTTCATCCGACTATTTCCTTCGTCTTAATTTCTACCAAACGTGCAATTTTGAATTACCTACAAAAGATTTCTATATGAAAAAATTGTATGAAAGCACCTGTCACGTGTTTTTTCGAGTTTACTGCGGCAAAACGTGACAGCTGTTGTCATCAAAATTACAATACCTTTGATAACAAGTAATTATGGTCTCCTAGGACACCAGAAAATGACGCCATACGATTTTTCTGATTTTATTGTCAATAAATTTTCTGAAGTTTGTCTATGCAGAATAATCTGTAGCCTATGAAATAGTCTTGTTAAATACCATTCGAAAAACACAATGAAAAGTATTTTTTTTTAACATAAAACATTCGCGCAGACGCAAAGATCTTTGTCTTCGACCCGGATGTTTGTCTTGCGGCCTGAATCTCCGTAGGGTAGCCCTATAGGACTTTTTTATAGCAACTTGTGGCAATACTTTTGTGTCTTACAGGCTTCCGCAAGGTTGATCCTAGGAGATACTGTATACATATTCTCCAACTTGAAAAGTATGCATTGTGTGGAGGTAGGAGAACAATCTGACGTACGCCATCAACCAATGACTTGCCAAGTTGAGTTTCGTCATTGGAATCTGATGTGAAGCTGATGCATTGCTACTGAGCACGAAACATCGCTGTCTGTGGTTGATTGTGGCTACAGGGGCGGAAAGCAGATGTACCCATTTCAATCCTGTAAATTTATGCATAGAAAGTCATTGTTGTCTGCTCTATGAATACTTGCTATTCCAGCTGCAAGATTAGAGGTAGGTAGGTCGAAGTTGTCACATGTTTTGCCTACCTCCGCATAGTATTTTGAGTTTTTCAAACGACCATAGCCACATGCTTGTTTTCCCTTCATCTGTCTCAAGGACTACAAGACCTATATTGCTCTGATGAGTTTACCAATAAGCACGAAACACGCTAGCTGGGGCTGCTCGTGGTTACAAAGACGGAAAGCAAACATGTCCACTCCAACTGTATGGGCTGTTTGAGAAAGTCCAAAGCATTTCTTGAAATTCCTTACGTTTCAATATTACATTAAGTCTTGATGCACGTATCCCCGAGACAGCTTCACAAAGATGGAGAAACGATACATGTATTTCAAAGCACAAAGATGTTCCTGCAACTACGTTTACTATTGTGTAATATGAGCCACATAAAAAAGGCAATTTCATAGAATTAATTATTCAGTGCCTGCTAAAATACCACAAATAGTCCAGGAAGTATTTTGGTAGCCGCTCGGAAAAATAATCTGATAGAGTTGCTAAAAAAGCACGAAATAAATATCTGAAGGTCGTGTGTCTTTGGGTGGACTTGGAAAAAGTTACTTACGAACACGTATAAGAGAAATTAAACGGATCAAGTGCGTCATACAAGACCATACAATTAGTTCATAAAGTCCTTTCCCTGCCCTAACCGTAGTACCGTTTATCCAGCGACGTCGCGTCGCTCTTCAGTATATTTGATGGGTCACTGGCGGCAGAGCGCCAGCCATACAGGATATAATACGATCACCGGCACGCTGGCCGCAGCCGTTGGTCATCAGATGCAAAGATGCTTGTCGTTCGCAGGTGCAAATGTATGGGGCAATCTATGATGTATATATATATAAAGAGAATATGATCATGCGGAGAAAAGTATATAACAACAAGTAGGAAAATAATGGGCAAATTCCGCAAAAAGGAGGAAAGTGGATATATAATATATATATATAATACGTATCGCTCGGGTTACCTATCCTATTTTATGTTATTCCGACACTACCCTATAACCTCTTCTTCATAAAAAAATACGTAGATGACATTATTTTATGCCTCCCTTCCATAGGTCTGGATGGTATTGTCAGAGAATTCAACAGCTATGACCCCTACATCCAATTTACCATTGAAAAAGAAGATGAGAACCTGTCTGTCCCCTTTCTAGACACAAGACTCATTCGCACCAACAACAACAGCTTATTGGTAGACTGGTACCAGAAACCTATGGCCTCAGGTCGGTTTCTCAATTTTAGGACATACCATAAGCTAGGGATTAAAATCAATTTGGTAAAACAGATGAAAACAAGGGAAATCACCATCTCAGATAATACCTTCCACACCTCAAATTTACGTGAACTATCAAAACTGTTCATCAATAATGGTTATCCGAAGTGTCTGATTAACAAGATCTTATTTAGTTCACCTTCCAATATTTTGCCGAACTCTGGTGATGCAGGTAATAGTCGCACAACCCCTAATAACGGAACTGATGTAATTCCCAATAATAACATCAATCCTAACAGTACAAGCACCAACCCGGATTCCAGACCTGGTTTTGCTGTCCTGCCCTATATCAAGGAACTGACCCCTAAGCTGATCAGATTGTGCAGTCCTTTGAACTTTCGAATTGCTTGCAAATCCGTCCTCACTATAAACTGCATTTTTTCTAAAATGAAAGACAAAGTCCCGCTGCTTGGCTTAACCAACACAGTCTACTCCATCAATTGCAACAACTGCAACCAAATATACATAGGTCAGACCTCCAGATCTCTTAAAGGAAGGATTACATCACACAAAAGTGATGCTAGGCTTCATCTTGAAAGATGCGCTCTAGCATCTCATGTTAACACAACAGGGCATTCTATGAATTACACAGGTATCAAAGTTCTTGATAAAGAAAAACACCTTTCCAAACGTTTATTCCCGGAAATGTCCCACATCTCCATGAATACCAACTGTATCAACAAAAAGACAGATGTTAAACAACTGAGTGTCATTTACTCATATTTGCTAAACTGCGAAAAATTGGAGAACTTACATATCTCCCCAAATTTCGACTCTTCACAACCATAATTAGAATCTGTGTTTTGGCCGATTCCACCAGTAAATTTCATTCCACTCAAAATATAATAATTCTCTTCTCACGATTTATTAATAATTGTTAATTTAAATTCCCATTAATTAAAATATAGTTTATTCAACTGCCTCTGGTCGGTTTAACAAATTCTTACATAAAATTCTGAAAATCACATCATCTGAAGTGATTTGGCAACGTTTGGCACACGCCCACAATTCGTTCCATCTTTCAACACAGACATTGACATCCTCACTCATTATTCCATGACCACTAATTTGTGCAATCATCAAGTGGCTTCACGATGTAATGCTCTAATGTTTTTTAAATAATTTTTAATCTGTTTTTAACTTGTTCTTGTCATATTTTATATAGTTTTGACCATTGTACAATCTATCCAGCTCTCACCATGTTACTGGACGTTTCCCTCATCCTATACGTAAACAACAATTAGCAACATCCTCACATACTACTGTAAGTTGAGTCAATTTAAATTCATTTTACACTTTTGTTGCTACTGTTGTCATTGTAATTGCAGCTCCTGATGATGATGGCAAAGTCCATTGAAAGCTAGAGAGAATTAAAAAAAGTATAAAGAGTCCTCTTTGCTTAAATTTTGTCGAAGTACCCAACAAAAGGCGGAAGCTTTAATTTTTCACCTAACTGGTCTAGACGACAATGACCACGTCTCAAGTTATATATATATATATATATATATATATATATATATATATATATTTATTTATATATAAAGCTTCCGGATTTTGTTGGGTACTTCGACAAAATGCAAGCAAAGGGGACTCTTTATAATTTATTAATCTCTAGCTTTTGTCATCTTCATCAGGAGAGTAGTATGTGAGATTGCTAAATGTTATTAACGTTCAGGTTGATGGAAACCACCTGATGCTGCACCTGTTCACGATGTAATTTTAACTTTCGTCTTAAATATTTTTAATGTTCTAATGTATTTCTAACATACAGCTGTGTAGTTTATATTAAATTTGACGAATGTACCATTATTATTATTATTATTATTATTATTATTATTATTATTATTATTATTATTATTATTATTATTATTATGATAATTGAGATGAGCAGAGTACACAGTACTATAAGCTCATGCAGTAAATATAGTGTACGGACACGTAACACAAATATATCAAATAGAAAAAAATAAAAAAAGACAGTTCATAGCTATAAAGTTTGTACACTCCTCCAGCTATCATACTGCTCTTTGAAGCTATTAACTGAAGTAGCACCAACCACACTTTCAGGTAAACTATTCCAGGTGTTGAATATGCGGTTGGGAAGAAACCACTGTCGGACTGTTGTATCCAGCTTTCACCAGGTTACTGGGCGTTTGCTT